GATAATTTAGATAGTATATTGCTTGAAGTAACAGGGCTTTGACTTTTGGTGCATTCATTCTTTGCCCATTTAATCAGAAATTCGTCATTTAAATATGTGATAAATTTTTGTATCATATCACTGGGTGCGTTTAGGAATTGAGTTGAATTAAATACAAACCTTACACTTCCTCCCAGATGCTAAAAATTAAAATAATCATCAGATATAAAAACTAATAAACATTTACATCTAAACATTTTCTGATATCTATTTCTGGATGTATTGATGACGCCAAATATAATTTTAAAGTCCATATAGGTTTTTCGAAATATTCAGGTGGTGGTATTTTAGCGGGAGGAGGGAAAAGAAGGCATATTCCCTTAGGATTATTCATATCTTCTACACATTTAGGTATTAAATCCCTCAGCATATATTTTTTCGCTCCATATAAAATTTCTAAACTGCCTGAATTTATTTATATTAAATTTTTATTTCTTTCTTTGTTTCTCTCGTCGAAGCCTGCAGATTTTGAATTTAAATGTTTTTGATTTAATATAATTGGATATTAATTAAGCAAATTTATTGGTTAAAAAATTACGGATTTCTTCCAAACAAGACAGTATATTCGGACCGATGTTTAAAATTTTAGGTAATTATTAAAGAATCACATATTTAAATAAAGATTCCAAAAATTTCAGACATGAATGTTAACATAAATACACGAATAGTTTTTGACAATATTTTAAACAAACAAAAAACTTTTTTTTAATCAGATATAAATAACACAATGAAAGGAATATTACAAATATAATAGATCAGAAATTTTGCAATCTTTCGAACTTTTCGTTATTATTTTGTTTGATTTCATTTATTTCAATTTCTGAAGAATCAGAATCATTTAACTTGATTGTATAAACGTAGGGCTTATAAATGCCTAATTTCGGGTAAATATTCTCCATAAGGTTGCAGATCATTCTATTCTCGTATTTGTAAATTGTTTTCTTGTCAAATTTTACTGTTATAGTAGCTAAACAATTACTGTAATCCGCACTCTATTCCTATTAAATAAATTTGAGAAATGAAAAACATCTCCTTTATCTCAAAATTTGAATTTCGTAAAAGCATGGTAACAGCAATCATAACTAGGACTGTAATTATTGTCGGAAAAAGAAATTTTTTTAATCAAAATATCGCTTATTTCAGAATCATCTAAAAGCTTGGGTTCGCGAATTAATTTTATGATATCTAAGCCACTGAAATATAGTATATAATCGGAAATAAGGTCGAATTTGTTTTCCGATAATTTAGATATTATATAGCTTGAAGTAACAGGGCTTTGACTTTTGATGCATTCATTCTTTGCCCATTTAATGCAGAAATTCGAAAATAATTTGCTTTGCTGTACATTTTTCCTCATTTAAATATGTGATAAATTTTTGTATTATATCAATTGGCGAGTTTAGGAATTGGTTGAATTAAATACAAACCTTATCATTTCGTCCAAGACGCTAAAAATTAAAATAATCATCAGATATAAAAACTAATAAACATTTACATCTGAAACATTTTCCGATATCTATTTCTGGATGAATTGATGACGCCAAATATAATTTTAAGACCCTCGAAATAGCTCTTTTGAAAGATTCAGATGGTGGTAATTTAGAGGGAGGATGGAAAAGAAGGCATATTGTCTTAGTATATTCATTTCTTCTACACATTTTGATATTAAATCCCTCAGCATATATTTTTTTGCTCCATATAAAATTTCTAAAAGTATTTCGGGTCTCCATATCTTTGAAATCAATTTCACCAGTATATATATTTCTAGTAGCAGTAAAGCAGAATATTTTTTCATAACTAAATATACACATTTATATCAAAAATTTAACTTCAATATGATTTCAAAAGCATTCTTTGTCAGATCCTCAATGCGTACACAACTTTCGTCGAACTTCACACTACCATAAAACATGGTATAAAACACTTCACTTTTATATGATAGAAGATTTTTATGAGCGTATATTATGTTCTCTTCCACCTTAAATGATTAAATAAATGAAAGTTGCTTTAAATGGAATAACCTCGAATCTAACATCTGACATATAGGAACTATTATATAGACTCTCACCTGTTTTCATGTGAATATTTAATTCTCTAAAATTTTCCATTATGTCCTAAATAAAAACGACATATTTATAAATGTATTGTAAAATTTTTGATATGGTTATTGGCATGGTTAGAGTTAATTATTTATACCGAATATCTTATTAATCAGTTATTAACACAAATTTCTGATTAAATTTCAATAATGAAAGCTAACTAAATTTCACATCCTAATTAACTAGTGACATTTTATTTCGGTGTTCACCTGTAGATAAAAAGAATTAGGTAATTATGATCTCTTACCCCAGTCTTGAGAAACAATGTCTATTTTCGAGTCATCTACAGACCTGGTTCATATGCCACCTGCCAAATAGAACTACAAAAATCCAGCTGAGCTTAAAATATAATTTACAAATTCGAACCGGTGCATGCTTTTAAAACAATGGGTTAACAGGGTAAAACGGGCTTATATTTATTATAATATTTATTTTTAGATCAAAACTGAAGGGCTGTGCCTATATTAAATAGAGGAATCTGGTAGATATTACCCGATCCTCAATTTCCACTTCAAATCAAATGTCAAAAAAATTTTAAACTCTATGAGTCAGCTATAGTCAATTCCATTATAAACCTATATCATTTTGATAGACAGTTTATTATCATTATGTGAAACAGAGACCGTGCAGGCCCGGGCCATATTTTAAATTTTTTAAATATACCTGGGCCGGGCATAAAAAATTTTTTTTTAACATATCCGGACAGGGCCTAAAAATTTATTTTTAAAATAAATCCGGGCCGGGCCCTTAGATTGTTAAAATATTAAGGCTGAGCTGTGGCCTTAAAATTTTTATAAAAATTTTTACATTGTGGTTATAAGATTATATTATATTATAGTTATGATTAAACTACCTAACACCCACAGATCGATCTAATTATTAATTTCCTGCAAATTTATTCAAAGTATTAATATATTTTTTTATAATTCATATCTAAATTTTTACAACATATTTTACCAAAACAATCAAATAAAGGAATATCTTAAATAAGCCCCAATATTCAAGTATTATTAATATATTTTTTTATAATTCATATCTAAATTTTTAGAATATTTACCAAAACAATCAAATAAAGAAATATCATGGCACAAAATACTAATGATATAATTAATAAAATTAAAAATAATATTTATTCTTTTAGTAATACAAATAATAATTTAAAATCTGAAATATGGGCTAAATTTAACATCATCATAGATAATAAAAAACATTGGCTACGTAAAATGTAAGAATTGTTCAAGTATATTATCTTATAATTATAAACATGGTACATAACATTTAAAAAGACATAAATGTGAAAAATTAATAAAATTTTTTTACACGTGAAAAACCAACCTATAAATGTAATATAAATTTAAAAGAAAAATTTATAGATCATTCCTTAACACTTTGCGCAAAAGATTAGACCTTTCGAAATGATAGCTGGGAATGGGTTTCTTGCAGGCTCTAGTCGATGTTGGGGCAAAGTATGGTAAAATAGATATCAACTCATTGATTTCACATCCCACCACTCTATCACGCCACCTTAAAGAAAAATGTAATAAAATAAGAAACATTTTGGTTGATACTATTGCCCCAGTAATCAAGAATCGATTTATGGCTGCTTCCACTGATATATGGTGCGATGACCATAAAAAGAACTCGTTTATAACCTTTAACATGCACTATATCAGATGACTGGAAGTTAGTGAAGAGAACCTATTTACCGCTAAATTTAAAGAAGTGTCAAAGACTAGCAAAGTAGTTAAGGATTAACTATTAAAAAATTTCATAATTTTAATATTAACGCTAACGATTTTATTAATATAATATTCGTTACAGACCAAGGTAAAAATATTATAAAAGCATTGGAGTTAAATGAACGATTAAATTGTTCTTGTCATATATTAAATACAATTTTAAGAAATTTATTTAACTTCAAATATTTGGAAAGTAATGCCCCATTATAAAATCAACAATAGATAATACTAAAATATTAGTGGGGCATTTAAAACAAAGTAATAAATGCCAGCATTTGAAAGCCCTTTATCAAGATATAGAAGTCCGCTGAGAACTCTAAATACAATATGCTCGATTCTGTTTATTCTCAAAATGAAGAAATTATAAAAACTTCAAGAACATGGGGGATCGGAAGGATCTAGTCAAAATTCTTGAGAATTTTAACACAGCTATTGTTGAGTTACAGTCGGACTCTTGTACTCTTTTTAAAGTGGTAATTTGGTATTATGAACTTCTTGAAGTTTGTAATACCTTTCAGAGCGAAAAAGGAGAAATAAAATTAATTTTACTTAATATAAAGCATTTTTTAATTGAAAAATTTGTTTTACACAAGTATCATTTTATTTCTTTTTTTCTCTGTCCCAAATTCAAGCAATTACGTATGTAGTCAGGGACAGATCGCAAAATGACGGAAAACTATATAAAAGATTATATTAAATTACAAGAGGCTCAGGAAGTAAATGAAATACCATCGACCAGTTAAGGAGCGCCGCTACATTTTCTCAAAAAGAGCTGGAGCGCCCCTCCTTATTATAAATGAGAAGCGGGAGCGGGAGTAGCTCCTTTTAAGGCTGGAGCGGAAGAGCGCCGCTTCACCGCTTTTTTAAATTTAATATATAAATTATATTATTTTTTAAATATTAATAATATTTGTTAATTAAAATTTAATGAAAATAAAATTTTATTTTATTTAAATTTATTCATTATTAAATGTTGAGCCGAGTTTTATATTGTTTTTCATCTAATCATTTTAAACATTAAACATCAGTTTTTTCCTTTTTATATTGAAAATTTTTGAAAAATCTTGTAAGTCATATTAATATTCATTTTATAGATATATAATAAAAAATAGTTTTAGATATTATGGATTTAGAGATCATAGAAGAAGAAACCGAATTTCCATTTCCACTATATAAAAAATATTTCAAGCTTATAGATGATACAGATGATAAAGTCAACTTAAAGGCGAAATGCCTATTATGTATTAACAACAAAAGGATATCTTTCTCTAAAATCTCAAGCTTTAATTTAAAAAAACATTTAAAAGTAAAATCAATATTTGTTTATTTTATAATAATTTTTTTAAAATGGTTTTAATTATTTTTGGGCAATTCATTATATTAGTTGAGCTTGGGTTGTCAGATATGATGCTTTTTTATATTTTAATTTTTATTTTAATTTTCTCATTACTTGTTCAACCTCCTTTTTATACATTTTTTTCTAAATAAAGTATTTTTTTAAATTGAATTGTAACATCCAAATTAAAAATATACATTTTATTATGGTAAAATTTATATTTTATTTAATCTTAATTTGATTTTTTCTTATTTTATTTTGATCAATAAACTTGGAAAATAATTATTTATTTTTATTTTATATTAATAAAATAAGTAAAACAAAATAATAAAAAAATTTACAAAAATAAAAAAAAATAATAAAAAAGATATAAATTACCTAAAAATATATTTATATTGCTCCTTAAATATTTGTCAATTTCTTATTTAAAAAATCTACCTTAATAATTTGATGTTTTAGATTATCAGAGAGAACATGTTAATCAATATTCAAAAATTGAAAATCATATCAATAGTTATAATAAAAAAGATATTAGCCAAAATATAAAGTCTTCTGAGAAAAAACAGTCAATTATAAATTTTAGTCAAAAAATATATGAACCTACAAAAACTGAAGGAGATAATGCAATCATTGATTATGTCATTGAGACACTAGTTCCTTTATCAACTGTAGACAATCCTAACTTTGTCAAAATGATAAAAGCGTTTTCCCCTTCAGCAAAGGTAATGTGCCGCCAAACACTAATAGCAAAGATAGGTTTGCGTTATGATAAAATGATGGATGATATTATAGAAATGCTTTCTGGAGTATCTTATGTGTGTACCACAGCTAATTGCTGGAGTGGATTTAGAAGGTAGTGCCTATATTTTTAAATGTGCTTGATTAATTAAACTTATAAAGGTCTTTTTTGGGTGTAACAGCTCATTGGATTGACACAAAATCATTGCAAAGAAAATCAGCAGCTTTAGCCCTAAGACGTGTTCAAGGCAACCATACTTTTGATGTTTTGGTCAAGATGATAATTGATATATATAAAAGCTTTAAAATTCAGAATAAAGTGATAAAAACCATTACTGATAATGGTAGGAACCTTGTGAAAGCATTCAGGTAATCTTAAATATTTATTTTAAAATTATAACTTTCCTTTTATTTTTTAGAATGTTTGAAGATAAAAGTTCTGAGATGGATGATGATTTCCAATTTCTGGATAATGATAATATCCTAAATAATAGGGCAGAAAGCTCAACATTCACGATGTACATGCCACAATCTCAATTTGGTGGCAACAGTTGACGCAGAGAAAGCTTTAGGTGATAGAAGCTTTCAAATAGTATCTCAAAGTTTATTCCAAAAGTGTCAATCTTTGTGGAATAAACAAAATATGTCTACAAATATGGCGGACGATATTATCAGAAAGTTGGGTAGGTATCTAATATGCCCAAAATTCCACTAGGTGGAATTCGTATTATGAGTCTATGGTTTTGCTAGATAAAATATTAGATGAAAAACAAAAGGACCTTGATGAGTTGTGTGATAACCATAGGCTTATACGTTTTAACTCCCAAGAACGTAAATTTATTAAAGAGTATAGTCAAGTATATATTAATGTAATCGTTATCTTAGTGAAATAAATAAATTTTAGGTTATGGAGCCTATGAAAAAAGCTCTAAAAATCCTTGAAAGAGGAGCTTCATATGGACATGGGTTTCCTAAGTCCAACCATTTCTAAACTTATTTCAAAATTAAACGAATTAACAGATTTTGAGTTTTGGCAACCTCTTGTAAAGTCTCTTATAAGCGGTATTAATAAAAGGTTTATAATAAAAAATAAATTATATCTATTTAAATAACTTTATTGCAGATTTTCAAATATTTATAATGATGATAATATCATTGCAGCGATTGTCCATCCTGCATTCAAATTGAATTGGGAATGGATAAAAAATCCAAAAAATATGGAACTTAAAGGCAGATTAATTAATTTTTTAAGGAAACAAATACCCGACGGAAAAATAGCTACTACTAGTTCACTGGAACCTGGCAATGATTTGGAAGATTTCTTTGGATTCCATGAAATTGATCACCATGAAGATAATATATTGGATAGATATTTTTTAAATAATGATAGCAAAACTACTATTTTTAGAACAATTCCCTGAATTAAAAAATATTTATATAAAATACAACACCCCGCTTCCCTCTAGTGCTCCTGTGGAGCGCCTATTTAGTATTGCAAAACAGGTCTTAGGGGAGAGGCGTGGGTGTTTGTTAGATTCTAATTTTAGAAAATTTATTACTTTTAAAAGCTAATAAAAGATTATAAATATTTTGATATATCATATAATATAAATAAAACGTTTTGATAAAAAAATATGATTTTGTTTCGTGTACCTTCTAAAAAAATGAAAATCAAAGGAGCGGTTATGGAGCAGCACTCCATTAGTTGGAGCGGGAGCTCGCTACTTTAAAAGGGAGCGGGAGCTCGCTACTTTAAAAAGCGTTAACAACTCTGCAATTACGACTGTTGTTAAACAAACTGAATCGTTTTATGACAAATGGGGCGATGGGTAATTCTGGTAATATGTCGATACCCGATGATGAATATTATAATTACATAAATAAAAAAATAGATGAAACATTTAAGGTGGATAATTTGTTAGAGTGGTGGGCGGCTCATCAAAGCGAATTTCCAATTTTAGCAAAATTGGCAAAACGGGTATTGGCAATTCCTGCTTCAAGTGCAAGCTGTGAGCGGAATTTTTCCACTACTGGGAGAATTCTTGAAGAAGAAGAAGTAATATTCAACCTGAAAAAGGTAGATATGCTTCTCTATCTTCATGATAATTTATGAATTTTTAATATCTTTCTTGAGTATAGGGTTTCGTCAATCATGCTGGTTTTTCACTTTGCAAACTGTCAAATATTTATTGCATTTATTATATTTTACCTGAGTCATGAAAGTTTTTAATCCAACATTTTCATTATTTTTTTTTACAATATTATATATATAAATTATCATTAATATTGTGCAATTAAGATTATATTTTCAAAATACTATTTATTATACATGCATTTTTTTAAATAGCGATTTATTTTTGTTTTATAAATTAAATAGTAAATTAAATACAATATATTATATTCTCAAAATATTTTCCATTTTTATAAATTAAATATTAGTTTTATTTTTTTTAAATACAATATAAAATATAGTATATGCTCAAAATATTATTACCATTTTTATGAATATTAGTTTTATTTTTATAAATGCAATATAAAATATAGTATATGCTCAAAATATCCATTTTTATAAATAACAGTTTTATAATTTTTATAAATTCAATATAATATTCTCAAAATATTAGCTCTTTACATGTATTTTTTAAATAATAAGCTATAAAACTCGCTGAAAAATATGGTAAAATACTATGGTAAATTTTTGTATATACCAGGTCGAATATAATTTAAAAAAATTCCGAACCGGGTGGTGCCTATGCAAGTCTCTGACTAAAATTAACGACTCAAGTTCATAGAACTATTCGTCCTCTAGTCGACTCAACGATATAATTTGTATTCACGACTCAAATTGGATGTCTAACTATAATATAAATAACAGAACAAATATCTAATTAATAATAACTAATTTGAAATATTTGTCTCTAGTCGACTATAATTGACGACTCAAGTTTATAGAACTATTCGTCCTCTAGTTAACTCAATTCACGACTCATGAAACTATAAAGTAAAAAAATGTAAAAAACAAAAAATATCTTAATTAATAATAATAAATCTGAAATATTCGTCCTCTAGTCGACTCAAGTTGACTATTTCATAAGGACGAATATTTTATGAACTTGAGTTTACGATTTTACTTGAGTTCAAAACTCGAGTTCACGACTTGAGTTTGAGTTAGTCGACATATTCGACTAACGACTCGAGACTCTGAGTCGTAGTCGGATGAACTCGACTTTTTAACAACATTAGTTATCACCTTATTGATCCAACATTAGGTATATATGAATAAAATAACTAATTATTTAGATTCAATGAAGTGTATAAATAAATATTTAGCCATTTGAATCTCCATATTATTATTATACCTAGCAATTTTACAATGTATTTATAAAAATGCCGTTTTTTTATTTAAGAAATGATATAATAAATTTTAAAGAATTAAGTATTCACACAAAAACGGGTAAAAGTTTATATAATGATTCATACATATCAAATTAAATTCGAGGTTATATTAAAGTTTATATTTCCTTCCTCCATATTATTCGTTTAAGGTTAAAAAGAACATATTATACGCTCATAAACATGTTCTGTCATATAAAAGTGAAATGTTTTATACCATGTTTTATTACTTATAACGTAAAAACGTGGATAGTTATGTTCGCATTGAGGACCTTACAAATAAAGCTTTTAAATCACATTGAAATTACAACTGATATAAATGTGTGTATTTAATTATTAATAAAAATATTTTGTTTGGCCTATAAGAAATACATATATATTGCGAAATTGATTTCAAAGATATGGAGACAGAAATAATTTTAGAAATTTTATGTGGAACAAAAAAATATATGTTGAAGGATTTAATATGAAAATGTATGAATAGAAAAACAGATACTTGCAGGGCTTTGAAATTATATTTAGCGTCATCAATTCGCCCAGAAACAGATATCCAAAATTGTTTCGAGGTAAATATTAGATTAAATCTGATGAAATTATTAGTATCTTAGACTAGTTTATAGGTATGTTTTTTTTAATTCAAATATTCTTCTAACCCTATTGATATGATACAAAAATATATAGCATTTTTAAATAATAAAAATACACACCAAAAAATATTTTTGAATTCTTCATAAAATGGGCGAAAAATGGATGTAAAATATCTGATAATTCAACAATTTAGAGAACAAATTCGATCTTATTTCAGATTATATTTTATACTTCAATAGCTTAGATCTTCTACAATTAATTCGATAGCGTAAAATTTTCTTAATTTTTTTATAGATTAAAAAATTCAAAATGGTAATGGAAAAATTTTAGTTTGACAAATATATGTTATCAAAATTTAGATATAATTATAATTCATACTAAAAATGCTTCATGAAAAGAAAAGCACTATTAAATTTTACATTGATTTAAAATAAATATAAAATTATTAATTAAATTTGTTCACAAATTTAAATATACCTAATAATTATTTATTTTTAAGTTTTCAGAAATTTTTTTGCTCTTAAAATGCAAAGAAATAAGTATATTATGATTTATTGTCAAATAGAATTAATTAAAATTAAAGTTATTAACCTTGAATCCCAAAAATAATATATTAAACATACACTATACTTTTAAATTATGAAAATTATTCGGAATTATTATACGAAGCAGACGATAAAATTTGAACGGACGATAAAATTATAATAATGTTAACAATCGAAATATCCACAAAAAAAATTAAAAATAATATTTAGCAAAAGTCAACAAAACTGTAAAAATATAAGATTGAAAACTTATTAGAAAGAATATGTTAATAAATCGAAAATAAACTAATTAAAATATGTAAAATAAATAGCCTTTAAAAGATAAAATTGGATTTTTTGTTAAATATTGAACGTTTATAAAAATAAATTTAATAATCATAATTAGGGGAGGAGCAGGGATATATTTTCAAGACTGAATACTTTAAATCGCAATAATTAGCTATAAAAATTTTAAAAATATGTAACATATTTTAAAAACATCTGGCGGGGAATAAAATTTAAAATAAAAATAATTCAAAGTCAACCAAGCCTAGATTTTTCGAATCGTGAAAGAAAAAATAGACTGAGATCTCCGTTAGAATAAAGAAAGAAAAATTAAAGAACTCCATAAAATGATCACTAAAAAGGCTGTACATATTCGATCTACTTTTTAATATAACCAATTTTAATATCTTTCTCAAATAACCGTACCCTTAAAATGTAGGAAGTTTTATAATGAATATATATATTTTTTTTTAAAAAAGTAGACAATGTTTTATTTAGAAAAATAGTGGAAAATTTTAAATTGTTAGATGATCGTATGAAAATAGACGAATTTGTACAATTTCTATATTTCATGATTCTCACTCTCTGAAAAAAAAGGTGAATAAAGATCGAAAAAAGATCATAACCAGCTTTTATCCGAAGTGATGTTTGATGGATTTGTCTCTGAACATAATTGACTCCTAAAAAAGATCTTAATTAATAACTCAATTATCTCTGGAATTATTGTTAACACCTTGATGAATATATTAAGATTTAAAACAATAT